ATATAGGCTTATAGCCACCTGTAACTTCAATTCCAGGGGACCCAATGGTCTCTTCTGGCCTTCTCATGCACCAAGAAAGCACATGACATACAGACACACATTCATGAAAAATATCCATACACATTAAAAAAAAAAAAAAACTTTGAAAAGGGAAATACAATGGGATGTAGCTCAATGGTAGAGCACCTGCCTAGAATCCCTCAGTAGTGAGGGACCTGGCAGAGCACCTGCATATGATCCCCAGTGAGGTGCACGGTTCAGCAAGACAGCATCTGGCTAGCATATGAGAGACATTGCATTTAGTTGAGAATGGAGGAGAGAAGGAGAAAGGAGAAAGAGATCAGCTCTGTCTCAGAGAAGAGACTTCTTCCTGTGAAAAGAATTTATAGCCCAACCTTAGAACCTATAAACATTCTTTGTACTTTTCTTATCTCACCGCTTGTCATTAACCCACTACATATTGACTTGGGCCCTTGGTACTGCACAAAACTGCCCCCATCAAAGATGTGGACCCCAGGCAGCCAAACCCAATGAGCCATTCTCAGTTCTTATTCTGATATTTCCCATGGCACAGTACCAATTAGATCCCCTTTCCCTTCCTGAGTAACATTTTCCTTGTGCTTTAACATGACAAAATATGTGTATATAACACATTCTTGGTTGCCTTTATAGCTAAATGGCTGCATGTAATAATAGCCCAAGGATCAGTTTGCCTCCACTTAACTTTTTAAAGTGGCTTCAGTTCAGGCCTACATGCTTGCAAGGCACACACTTACTGACAGAGTCATCTTCCCATACCTCCACCTGTATTCTATTCTCAGCATATTCTAAATCAAGAACTGAGGAGTCATCTATTGAAAGTAAATGTGATACTGCACATCTCTGCACATAATTTTAGAAAGTGTCTATCCATATAACAGGCATTCAAAAAGGAAGTTTTCAGTTGGTGGAGTACAACTTACCACTAGCTGAGGTCCCCTTCTTATAGCTGACTCCTGTGCTCCTGTGGTGTAAGTGATGCACTTGGCTCTCATCAGAGACTTAAGAAAACACAGAGAGGAACAAGAAAGCCGGAACCAATCTGATGGCAGAAATCTAGGGTTTCTTAAGATTTCCAGAAGATATGCAAATGTGACACATTGGAGTCATTTTGTTTTACTCTAATTTATGTGTGTGGAGGTTTTGCCTGTTTGTATGTTAATGCATCCACCACACACAGGCCTGATGTCCTCAGAGGCCAGAGAGAGCACTGGATCCCTTGGAACTGGAATTAGAGGCAGTTTTGAGCCATCATGTGGGTTCTAGGAACTTAACCTGGGTCTTCTAGAAGAACAGTCAGTACTCTAACTGCTAAGTCATCTCTCTAGCCAAAGTGGAGTTCTTAGAAACATAGAAGCGTAAATGTTCTCCACCATTGATCTGTGAAACACATGAGGTCAGTACTGTCAACCTCAGGTTTCAGGCATCTGTGAACATTCAGAGTTCTAGTTCTTTGGATCCCCTGATCTGAAGTTACAGACAGTTGTGAACAGCCTTACATGAGCTTTGGTAACCAAAGTCCTTTCCTCTACAGGAGCTGTACTTGTTCTTAACCATTGAAACATCCCTCCAGGCCCTCTTTTAAAAAGGGGGGGGGGGGGGGACTTGATCGATGGCTCTGAAATTCAGAGGACTGAATGCTCTTAAAGAGGATGCAAGTTGGATTTCTATCATCTACATGGTGACTCACACCATCTGTCACTCCAAGTCTATGGGATACAATGTCCTCTTTTGGCCTCTGCAGGTACTAGACACAAACACTATGTGAAGTTATACATTTGTGCAAAACACTCATGCATTTAAAAATAAGTAAATAAATCTGCTTTTAAAACACAAAGATGAGTAGCTGAATAAATGCCTCAGTGGCTAAGAGCATTTGTTGCTCTTCCAGGGTACCCAACTTCATTTCTCAGTGCCCAAATAAAACAGCTCACAACTGCATACAACTCCAGATCCAGGGAGACTAGACATCTCCTCTTGCCTCTGTGGGTGCAGGCACATACATACATGAAGTGTGAGATGATAACCAAACAGAATCTTGCCTCTCTGTTTATTACCAGAGTTCTAACAGCACGTGTATGGGTTTCTTTCCACACAAAGAAATTCTCTAGTTTTCTGTGGACACTAACTGGATGGCCTAACAATTCAGTTCTTTAATACACTATGGGAACTGAGTAGATTTGAGGTCATCACAGAGATAGGAATCCCTGAACTAAAGCAGAATGGGTTGGTTTTTTCTAAGGCTGGCAATACAAAGCACCACTCACTGGGTATCTTAAAGCATAGCAACTGATTTTGTCACAGTTATGGATGCTGGTAGTCCAGATTGTGATGATGGTCCCAGGGCTTCTCTTTGGCTTGCAGATGGCCATCTTCTCCACTCTGTGTCCTTTCATATAAATCTCTGTAAATTTACCCAGCCCTGGTGTTTCTCTCCTCTCAAAAGGTCACCATTTATATTGGATTAGGGCCCCACCCTTATGATCTCATTTAGTTTTAATTAGTCCTTTAAATGCCTGAACTCCGAACAGCCACATTCTGAATGGAATGGGAATTCGAAATTTAACTTGAGATTGAAGGAGACCCCAGTTTATGACAGGATTAAGTGAAAAGCTGATGAGAGAAAATTCTAGAGGTGGGCCTGAAGGGACAAGTAATCCTAAAATGTGTGTGCAGTTCAAAAGCAAGGTCTGAGCTGCAGACAGTGAGTGGAGGGAGGTGTGATGCAAACATCCACACAGACAGCCTGTCAGGAGACAAGAATGTTTTCCAACTAAGATGTAGATAATATTTATTACACTGGAATCTGTGGTACGTGCTCTGCATCGGTTATCTTGTCTATTCTACTCAAATAAAAATTATTTTTGTAACTATTATGATTCTCAATTCACAGGTAAAGTAACTGAGCCTCCTAAATCACAGTCACATCCAGTCACCACCTGTTTGGTTGTTGTGGTGGTCTGTCAGAGCATCAAGTGCTCTTAACCATTTAGCCCTCTTCTCCAGTCCAACCAACAATAGGCTTAGTACAGCCTGCAAGCCAGCAATAGTTTTCTTATTAGTTATTTGTGGGTTTTTTCTGTCTGAAGAACAACAAAAGAAGAAAATATGGTCTGCAAAGTGATGTGAAAACCAATTGTTGTGTTCTTAAATGATGTACTGTTGGCAATTATCTGTGTACTCATGTAGAAAGCAGAACAGGGACCCTGAAGACTACCAGGTATTAAATATTAACTTTTTCACCGTTGATAAAATAATGCTCAGTGCTGGTTAAGTGGCTTGTCTGGTCCCCCAACGAGTGACCAAGCCAGCCCAGGTTCTAACTGAGAATCTTCACAATTCCCAAAGGGAGTTGCCTACACTACTCTATTTTCTGACAGAATAATTTGGCGTCTCAAGCAGGAATTCCTCCACCCCAGCACAGCCCAGTACCATTTTCTTTGGATTTGCCTAGATTGTGCAAATGAGGCCCATACAAAGCAGAAGTTCACCCTGGGACTTTCCTGCTTTACTTCCCTCTCTAAACTCTACCCTACACACACATGCCGCTGCATTTCCACAGGTGCTGTGTGGTAATCATAGGCCATTAGACAGCAAAGAAAAAGCCATCCTGTGCTTCAGTAAGAGGTGTGGTGAGCTGTGGAGGAGTAGGTGGGGGATTCCCATCAAACCATCTTTGAGCAGAGCAATCAGACTTCAAATGACCTCACACTCTGTTCAGCAGTTACTCTCTACCTATCCCTTTCTTGTTTTCTCTTGGGATCTGGGACCTTCACTATGTAAAATAATGTTCTTTCCCACTCAGTTCCTTGTGAGTTTGTATAACTTCACTTGCACGCTCCGTCATATTGTGGAGCAATATTTCACCTACTGAGACATTCCATCGTGAAGAGAGGATCCTTAAGATTCTGGGAAGTTAAAACTTGAAACATTTTCCCCTAGGAACAACACGTGTCAGGGAAAACAGAAACTTACACAATAAATAGGGCCCTCTACAAGGTTAAGAAAGCAGTAAGCAAATGCTTAGGAGAAGAGAGGAGGCAACGCTGCCTGGAGGAGGTTCTCAGACTAACCAGCCTACTTCTGAGAGATTCTCCAATCTGATGAGCTGCTGCAAGTTCTGCAGAGAGCTCCAGGTTTGCTACTTCACTGTCACGCAGGCTGAGGTGGGCTTTTTGGTGATGCGACAGCCTCTGAGTCAGCCTGGTTCCTGTAAGCAAACCCTCACGCACGTATACTTCTGTAAGTATCCCCAATGAGCTCACTGGTTTGTCAAATTGGACTTGGCGTGTTCATTGCTTTTCTTTGTCCCTGGTATCCGGTCTGGGGTGAATAGACATCTTTTTATGCCCTTCCAGGAAAAGTCAACTTCCTTCCTTGGAAACTTTCTAAAAGGTGCCTGTTATGAATGACCACAAAGGTGAGTTGGCAGAAGTGTAGGCTATTATGCAGTTGATCTTGGCGATTGTGGCTAAGTGTAGAATGTTTGATCGTTTCTGACTGTCTGAATTATTCACATTTATCTTCCTTTCTCTGGGTCTCTGGTTTCTATTTCTCTCCTTCCATCTCTGCATTTCACTGCTTCCCATAGGTTCTCCTTACCACAGCCTCCTCCCCTTTCTTTATGCTGACAAGGTTCCTGAACACCCAGATTCCCTCGTCTCTTGGACCTACATATATATCCCACCAACGATGAAGCAGAGAAAACTTTTCAGGCTCTTGCGGGGGTTTTTTAGTTTTGTTTTTTGTTGTTGTTTTGGTGGGCGTTTTTGTTTGTTTGCTTTGGGGGGTTGTTGTTGTTATTTTTGTTGTTGTTTGGTTTTTTGATTTTTTGAGACAGAGTTTCTCTGTGTAGAGAACTGTTCTGGAACTCGCTCTGTAGACCAGGAGGGCCTCGAACTCACAGAGATCCACCTGCCTCTGCCTCCCAAGTGCTGGGTTCAGCTCTTGAGTTTCTATAAGGATCCAGTCCAATCATCAAATGCTATTAAGAAAAAATATGATTTGGTATAATCTCAGGGTCAATGCAAGTCACAGGAAGTCCTGGTTTCCTGTTTCCTGTTTCCTAATTCTTCTCTGCTCTATTACCCCTCCCCTGTCCCTTTGTATATTTTCCATTGAGACCATTAGAGACAGCCAGCTCTCTCCAGGAGATCAGACTTAGAGCTGTCTGGAAGAAGACCCACAGCTGTTGGAAAGTGCAGGTGAGAAAACTTTGCCTGGGGGTCTGCATAACTTGGTGAGGTTGCTTTCAGCAGATTGACCTGAGTAATAGAGGGCTGGGTATGCAGTTTCGTAGGAAGTGTGCTTTCTTAGCAAGCACAAAGCCTGGGTACTAATACCACATAAACCAGACACAGTGGCCCATTCCTGCAATCTCAGCATTGGAGTTGTAGAAGCAAGAGAAGCAGAAGTCTAAAGTTATCCTTGGCTACTTATAGTAAGTTCAATGTCAGCCTGAACTACATGAGAGCCTGTTTTAAAAGATGAAAGAAAGAAAGAAAGAAAGAAAGAAAGAAAGAAAGAAAGAAAGAAAGAAAGAAAGAAAGAAAGAAAGAAAGGAAGGAAGGAAGAAAGGAAGCAAGAGAAAAAGAGAATAAGCTCAGTTGTGGAGAAATATAACATAAAGAGGTGAATACAGCAATACATGTCACTCAGGATGTTTTGCTGCAAAAGAAAGTCAAAGTCTTTTTAGTTGAGAACTAAAGGGTGGTATGAAACTGGATAATAACTTGTATGCTCAGTGTTCTGGAGCATATTGATATGCTCATTCATTGGGAGGAATCAAGAAAAAATGTTGAATGTGCACTAGTGAGGCGTAGCACTCCTGGAAAAAGTAGGTTGTGAAGGATTTGAGGGATGAGAAGAGGGAAAGTCTTAGGCTGGGATACTTGTCTTCTGGTCACAGATGTGAGGCCAGAGAAAGTGCCTCAGGAGTGTGGAGGGCAGTGGCTGTGTGAAGCATGAAGAAAGGCATGGGCTGTGTTTGGGTGGGTGGAGAAAGGGCTCAAAGCTTTAAACAAAAGAAAAAAAAAGAAGGAAGAAAATTGTTCTTATAAGTCATAAGAAATGCAAGAAAAAGGGCAAGGTTGAGGGCAGAGATGAACCTGCAAGCAGACAGGCTCACATACTTCGTGGATTCTGTTGCAAAATTCACCTCTACCTCCTCTGGAACTGCTAGTTTTGGTTGTTTTCCCATTTAGTCAAGTTCAACTTTATCAGGGTCTGAAGAAGCTGGTGATGTGGTACAGTGATTGGCAGGTTTAAAGGCCTCTCCCAAAGGTGGCTAACAACATTCCTATTCAATCCAGACCACGTTCTTCTTCCTCCAACCACAGGTGGGGCCTTATCTCATTGTTCTCCTGGTCTTGCATGTTCTGACCTGTCACTGCAAAATCTTCCTTGTTTGTTTTGTAAACTTTTTAATCATTGCCTCAATGATTCTTGAGAACAAACAGCCCTCAGAATAGCTTGGTGGTTGGTAGTTGGTGGAATGTAGGGAAAGAGAAGACAGTTCCAAATTGTTTCTCTGTTGTATATTGGGTATGGGTTCAGGAGGGTCTGTGCAATCATTACACAGAAGCACCTTAAGGATGAAATTAGCCTTTCCAGCTGCAGGGGACCAGCCTCTCAGGACTGACTCCTGCAGTTTAGCAAAGGGCTTTTCTATTGTTCTCCAATTTACATCTTTAGCAAGTTAATTTCTGTATCTCAAAATCTCTTATCTAAGCTTCCCAAAGGGACAATGCCAAATGCAAATTCTCAGTTAAGGAATACCTGTGGTTTTCAAGGTTGTCCCTCAAGCAAGTGTGCATTGGCTATGTACTTTTAGAAAACTCTCAGACAAGATTCACATAGAAGGTACCAGAAAACAAAAGATAGCAATCACAAAAGGCAGATTAAGACTAGGTGTTAACACTCCCAGAATCAAACCAGCTGCAACTCTGCAGGAATTCCCCCAACATTTCTGAAACTATAAAGCATTGAGATTCAATAAAATGTGAGCTACAGGTCTGATTTTAGACTGTCCTGTGGGTGCTTTAAAGAAATAAAGAGAATCACAGGGCTAGGGTTGTAGCTCAGTAGGAAGGGTGTGTGTCTAGCATACAAGCTCTGGACTCAAAACCCAGCATAATGTAAACTGAGTGTTGTGGATACGTGAAATCCCAGAATTTGGGAGGTGGAGGAAGGAGGACCAGAAGTTTAAGTCTGTCCTTGGCAAGTTTGGGATTCATGAGACTTTATCTCAAAAGTCTTCTCCTGTCATCAGATTGGTGACTACCCTAATTGTCATCATGGAACCTTCATCCAGTAACTGATGGAAGCAGATGAAGAGATCCACGGCCAAGCCCTGGGATCCAGTGGAAGAAAGGGAGCGGGAATTATATGAGCAAGGGGGTTCAAGATCATAATGGAGAAACCCACAGAGACAACTGACCCGAGCTATTGGAAGCTCACAGACTCTGTACTGACAGCAGGAAAACCTGCATGGGACTGAACTAGGCCGTCTGAATGTGGATGACAGTTGTGTGGCTTGGGCAGTTTGTAGGGCCCCTGGCAGTGGGACTAGGATTTATCCCAGGTGCATGAACTGGCTTTTTGAGCCAAATCCCTGTGGAGGGATCCCTTGCTCAGCCTTGATACAGGGGGAAGGGCCTTGGTCCTGCCTCAACTTGATAAGTCAGGCTTTGTTGACTCCCCATGGGAGAGGCCTTACCCTCTCTTAGGAGTGGATGGGGGTGGGGTGGGGGAGGGGTGTGGGGAGGGATCAGGAGAAAGGGAGGGAGGGGAACTATGATTGGCACTTAAAATTTAAAACAAAAAATTTAAAGGTAAAAACAAAACAGAGGAGGAGAATAGATGGAAAATCACAGCTATCTGGGCTCAACAGCACACATCGTAATCCCACCACTTGGGAAGCAGAAGCAGGAGGACTGTTATAAGTTCAAGGCCAGCCTGTTCTGCACAGAAAGTTTCACGTCAATCAGGGATACAAAAGAACTTATGTGAAACAGGAGGAAGGGAAGGAAGAGGGGAAATGGAGGAGAGAGGGGAAGGGAAGTGATAGGAAGGAATTAATTTTAATCCACTATTTGTTCAACAATTACATCAAGGACTGTAAACATTTTTAATGAGGCATTACAAGCTGCTTCCCTCACAGACTTTCAAATGTGATGGTCACTGTTGCTCTTTCCCATCTCATATTGGAGTTGATACTGTGTGAGTCAGCCCCACTTCTAACAAAGGTAGTGTGACAGAGCAGGGTCAGAAAAAGACCTTTGCTGAAATTTCAGACTGAGAAACTGAGTGACTATAAGAAGTTGATTTAATGTTTCAGGTATGGTTCCTCATTTTCACAAGTGTCAATGATAAAAAGAGTAAAACTTCTGCCTGAAGAGATGGCTCAGTCAGTTAGACCAGTGAGGACCTGTGTTCAGATCACCAGCACCCACACAAAAGCCAGGTGCAGCAGTGTGGGTCCTCACCTTCAGCACTGGGAGGAGGAGAAGAGAGGGGCAGATATCTGGAGTTCATGGCCAACCAGTGTAGCTCTAAGTTTACTGAGAGATTTGTCTCAAAACCACTAGGTGAAAAGTAATCAAGGAAGACATCCAACACTGACCTCTGACTTCTGTTCACATGTACACACACACACACACACACACACACACACACACACACACACACACCTGTCATTATTCAGTACATGCTACTTGTCAATCACTTATTCACATTCAAGGTTATTAACTCATTTTGCCTCTCTCCTCCATTTAAGGAAGTCTACAGTTAATATTAGGGAAAGCCATTTTTGACATAAGCAATACTTTGCATACTTAATCCTATGAAATCTCATACCCTTCACATATTGGAACCTCATTTCTCTCTTGCCCTTCCCCACCCTCATGCGTCTTGAGGAGATCTCATAACCAGAGAACATTCTTTCCTTCCACTAAGATAATCTCAAAGAAGAGGCTGGAGAGACAGCTCAGTGAAATACATACATATACACATGATTATATTTAATTTAAACTTTGATTTTTAAAAGATAATTTCAATTGGTTATTCAATACTAAATTGTTTGCCTTGAAAACATATAAACAAGTCACAACATATGGACTGAGCGGGTTGTATTTAAGACTGTGTGTGTGCGTGTGTGTGTGTGTGTGTGTGTGTGTGTGTGTGTGTGTGTGTGTGTAACAACAATTAATGAAAAAAGAGACTATGCATTTGAAAGGGGCAGGGAGGGGGTGGGGGAGCATATGGGACAGATGGTTTGGAGGGAGGAAAGGGAAGGGAGGAGTGATGAAATATACTATAATATCAAATATAAAAGAAATAATGTAAAAGACAATTTCAGAGATGTCACCTGAAGCCATTACTCATGTAAATGTCCTCCCTGAGCAGAAGAGAGGGGCCTGTATTGAGCCTATAGGAAAGAAGGAGGTAGGTGTGCAATGAAGTGCTTATGCAGAGTGATAGGTTCATAACTGACTCTGGGCCACTGAAGCTATCTTCTACCAATTCCCTAATGTCCACACACCATATTTTTGTGTGTGTGTGGTAAAATACACATAATAAGAAGTCTACCTGATACTTTTTTCTTGTTGGTGTTGTTGCTTGCATGAAAAAGGCCACCAACCTTAGTTTTTGAGACAAGGTCTCTCACTGGACATGGGGGTCACACACTTAGTTTGACTGGTTGCCCTAAGGAGCCTCCTCTTTCTGCTTCTCCAGCACTGAGATTTTTATATAGGCACATGCCACCTTACCAGTTCTGTATGTAGGCTGGGCATCCAAACTTAAGTCCTCGTGTTTCTGTGGCAAGCACTTTACTGACTGAGCAATTTCCTCAGTCCCTTGTTTGTTTCCCAAGACAAGGTCTTGCCATGCCTTCCAGCCTGGTCTTAAACTTACTATGGAGCCCATGCCAACCACAGAGTCAAGATCTTTCTGCCCCTGTCTCCCAAGGGCTGAGGTGACAAGGTTACACCCCCACCACACCCAGCTTACATTTTACCACTCGAAAATTAAATGTCATTAAGTGCATTTAAAATGTTTTGCAACCATACCCCTATCTAATTCTAGAATTATTGCATCACTCAAAGGAAAACAAATTCCATACCCTTTGAGCAATAATTCTTCTCTCTTCCTCCATCAGGCCTCTGTATCCACAAATATGCTGTTTCCTGTAAACTTACCTATTTTGGATATTTGTTATAAGTTGGATAATGCATCATATGACATTTTGGGTCTGGATTCTTTTGTGCTATAGCTTTAAAGTGTACCTGTCATACCATGTATTAGTTCTTCACTATTTTGTTTTGATTTTTGAGAGAGTCTCGTTGTATATCCTCTGGAATACAGGCCTCAAACTTAGCCACCCTCTTGTCATAGTACCCCTCTTCCTACTGAGAAATTGCCTCATCAGATTGGCCTGGAGACCAGTATGTATGGCATTTTCTTGATTAACAATTGATGTAGGAGGACTGGAGAGATGGCTCAGAAGTTAAGAGCACTGGCTGCTCTTCCAGAGGTCCTGAGTTCAATTTCCAGCATCCACATGGTGGCTTACAACCATCTATAATGAGGTCTGATGTCCTCTTCTGGCATGCAGGCATACATGCAAGCAGAACACTTACACATAATAAATAAATAAATCTTAAAAAATTGATGCAGGAGGGCTCAGCTTACTGTGTGTGATGCCACCCTTGGGCAGGTGGTCCTGTGTTGTAAAAGAAAGCATGCTGAGCAGCCAACAAGATCTAGCCAAAGCTCAGCACTCTTCCATGGCCTCTGCTTCAGCTCCTGCCTCCAGGTTCCTACCTCAACTTCCCTTCATTATGGAGTATAAAATATTAACTTCAGTAAACCCTTGTCTTCCCAAATTGCTGTTGGAAAATGAACTAGAATAGGTTGTCTTTATATTCTAGCTATAGTGAGAAATGCTGCTATAAAATTTGTGCACAGCTTTTGTTTGAACACAAGTTTTTAACCATAACTTTTATTTAATTTTCAACAGCTGCATATACAATTATCCTCACACTCTTGCCTCCATAACATCACCCAGCACACACCCCTCTGCCACCATGTCCTTTCCTTCTCTTTTTAACAGTCCAGTGAGGTCTGCCTGCTGGAATATTGACCCATCCTATTCACTTGTTCTTGTACTGAAATGTTGAACACAAGTTTTATTTACATACTGTTTGCCCGGTTTAGGGTTTTGTATTTTTCCTCTTGCCAGTTAAGTATCTACATCAGCTAAGTAGTTGCTTTATGGGCAGAGTGCATATTAGTAATTGTGGAAACAGAGGCACAACCTTCCCCTACCTGATAAGAGGTTGACAACATGGGTGAGCATGTCAGGCAATGGGGAGCTTGCTCTAGCTTGGGTGTGTGAGACTAGGGGGAAGGAATAGATTGGGCACAGCAATAAAAGCAAGGAAAACTGTCTTTTTTTTTTTTTGGTATTTTCAAAAACAGGTCTTAAAGAGACCACTCAATGGTTAAGGTGCTTACGCGCAAGTGTGAAGGCCTGAGTTTGTGTCCCCAGAAACCCATGTAAATGTCAGTTGGGCACAGTGGTTCACCCATAATTCCAGTCTCAGAAGGTGGGGAGAGTCAATCCCCAGAGTAATCTGACCAACAAGGTTAATTATTGATGTGAGTGCTGGATTTGACTGAGATACCCTGTCTGGATGAATAAGATGGAAGAGTAGTAGAGAATGATGCCTGACATCAACCTCAGGGCTTCACATATTGCACCTATGTGCAGAAGCATTCACACACAGGCATGAACTCATATATGCAAAGAAAACATGCACTCATGAAAAATGGGAAAATGAAGCCAGGCATGATGGCGTACACCCTTAAACCCAGCACTCAAGAGAAAGGGGTATGAAGATTTCTGTGATATTACAGCCACTTTTGTCTATAGAGAAAATTCTAGGCTAGAAAAAGGATGTGTAATGAGACCATGTCTCAAGGAGAAAAGAAAATTTAAAATAAATAAATAAATAAATAAAATCTCTGTCTCTTGATGTTCTAGGAGTGAACAAGATGGACACCAACATCTCTTTCCTCATGAACATGTCTACAGGGAACTTCATGAATGTGTCTGCAAGGACCCAGTCAGCATCTGCTGGCTACATTGCTCTGAATGTCTTCTCATATTTGATGCTTGCAGTCACCTTTGTCCTTGGAGTGCTGGGCAATGGGCTTGTGATCTGGGTGGCTGGCTTCCGCATGGTACGCACAGTCACCACCATCTCTTATTTGAACCTGGCCATTGCTGACTTCTGCTTCACCTCCACTTTACCATTTTTCATCGCCTCCAGGGCCATGGGAGGACAATGGCCATTTGGTTGGTTCATGTGCAAGTTCATATTTACCATTGTAGACATAAACCTGTTTGGAAGTGTCTTCCTGATCGCCCTCATAGCACTAGACCGATGTATTTGTGTCCTGCATCCAGTCTGGGCTCAGAACCACAGAACTGTGAGTCTGGCCAAGAAAGTAATCATTGGCCCCTGGATGTGTGCTTTCCTACTTACCTTGCCAGTTATCATTCGTGTGACTACAATCCCTGATAAACTTGGGCCAGGGAAAACAGGCTGCACTTTTGACTTCTCCCCCTGGACCACAAACCCTGTAGAGAAGCAGAAGGTGGACATCACTATGTTCACCATCAGAGGAATCATCAGGTTCATCATTGGGTTCAGCACACCCATGTCCATTGTTGCCATTTGCTATGGGCTCATAGCCACTAAAATCCACAGGCAAGGCCTGATCAAATCCAGCCGTCCCCTGCGGGTCCTCTCTTTTGTCGTGGCTGCCTTTTTCCTCTGCTGGTGCCCATTTCAGGTAGTGGCCCTCATATCCACAATCAGAATCCGTGAACGCTTGAGTGGTATGACTCCAAACCTCCAAATTGCAGTGAATGTCACAAGTTCCTTGGCTTTCTTCAACAGCTGCCTCAATCCAATGCTCTATGTCTTCATGGGCCAGGACTTCAGAGAGAGACTAATCCACTCCCTGCCTACCAGTCTAGAGAGGGCCCTGACCGAGGACTCAGCCCAGACCAGTGACACAGGCACCAATTTGGGCAACAACTCCTCTTTACCTTCTGAAGACAATGTACAGGCAATGTGAAGAGAGGGCTCCAACTTCAAGCTTCATCTGCTTTGAGTTCCACTGTGCTATAGACGTTCCCTGTTGACCTTTGAGCTACGCACTCAACTGAAAAACTTGAGATGACTTTTTGGACTTTTGTACCTCAATCTGAGCTGGTCAATAAAGAGAAAAGACAAAAAGACCATACATTTTCTTGTTAGTCTGAGATAGTTGCAAATGACAGCTAGTGCTGTTACTAATACTGTCCACTTCTAATCTCACAGGCTGAAAACTCACAATTGTCATAAGTGTCTTTCTGTGGGTAATATGTGCATGTTTCCTTTAGTAAATGAGGGAGGAAGGGGAAAGACTCCTATCCCTTGAGTTATGCAATTTCCTGATCCCTTGTGTTGAAATATTTGTCATATAGTTTGCCTTTAAAAGACAGTGTTTTCACTTACGGCTCTCAGTGTAGCTACAGCCAAATTAGTCCGGTTCGTATAGTATCTGGTATTTGAGTTACCTGCTCCAAAGTGAATGAACACAGAATGGTACTCCAGGTTTTACTCCCAGCAGCAGTCAATAAATGCCACCCACCATCCACCACTCCCTGCCCATCCCCCACCCACCCACCCACCCCCACACACACCTGCGCACATGCCAGGATTTGTAGTCATTTGGGTTCTTTTAATCTTGACCACTTTGATTATAGTAAAATGAAATCTCAAAATGGTTTTAATATGCAGTTTCCTACTGGCTAAGGATTTTTAACATTTATTTAAATGTTTTGCAACATTAGTAATTCATCCTTTGAAAAATCTGTCTTCTCTATTGCCTGTTTTTTAATTGGGTTGTTTGTTTTCTTGATGTTTAGCATTATTATTATTATTATTATTATTATTATTATTATTATTATTTAGTTATTTGTATATTTTAGATACTAACCCTCTGTCAGATATCCAGCTGGTAAAGATTTTTTTCTATTCTGTAGACTGCTTCTGGACTTGAGTGATGGTATTCTTTGCTGTATGGAAGTTCTTTTAGTGTCAATGAGTCCCATTTTTTAATTGTTTATCTTAACATCTGTTCTTTAAGGTCCTATTTAAAAAGTCTTTCCTTATGCCAATGAGTTCAAGCGTATTCCTTGCTTTATCCTATATCAGGTTCAGGGCACCATGTCTGATGTTGCAGTCCTTGATCCATTTGGAGCTGAATTTTGAACAGAGTAATTGTCAAGGTTAGCCAGCACCATTTGACGAAGATGCTATCTACTGCAACTATTATTGTGGGAGTGTGTACTTATATCTAGATCCTCAATTCTATTTCAGTGATCAATGAGTTTGCTTTTAGGCCAGGGACATGCTGTTTTTTATCAGATCTGTAGAGATCTATAGCATAGTTATATAGTGCTAGGAGTTGCTATGCATGCTACCAGAAAAGGAATCACCAGTCTTACCCATTTGTGAACACATTGAGAGCTACAGTAACAACCATCCTGGCAAGACATATCCATTGAGACAATATTGGCATAAGCATCATGAGATTAACCAACCACTTTCTTGTTGGATTTAAGGCCCACTCCAAAAATCAAAACCCATACCTGCCACCATTATCGGAGCCATGAGCCTATGACTAGAGAGGTTATAGGCCCTAGTGGAGAACCTTCTACTGCTATTCTGCTAACTGGACTTAGTGCTAACCAACTAGTAATGACTTAGTACATCTCTCACCTCTAATCAGAGAAGGAAAAAAAAAGGGAAAAAAATAAAATAAAATAAAAAAAAAGAAAAAATCAGAGAAGGTTCAGTTTCCTGGAGATAATAATGAACACAGAGCCGGGCGGTGGTGGCGCACGCCTTTAATCCCAGCACTCGGGAGGCAGAGCCAGGAGGATCTCTATGAGTTCGAGGCCAGCCTGGACTACCAAGTGAGTTCCAGGAAAGGCGCAAAGCTACACAGAGAAACCCTGTCTCGAAAAATCCAAAAAAAAAAAAAAATAAATAAAAAATAATGAATACAGAGATCCACAGTTGGGTAAGGTGTAGAAAACAAGAGATTAATGCATGCTCAGCCCTAAATGGAAAATGTATATCACACACAATCCCTCCCAGGGATCATTATGAAACAGCACAGAAAGATTGTAAGAGCCAGAGGTAGCAGCTGGCTACAAGGAAATGTGTTTTCTGGGCACAACCGTGCAGTTGCACATACAAATCCACAGGGGTTATGACAGTGTGAACAATGCCTGTGCAAGCTCAAGCCAAACCAAATCTTGGTATAGAAAGGAGGTGAGCATGAAATACCACGCCTAGCTGAGGAGCTATTAACAATTGGAAACATGTGGAAGAGTGTCTTTTTTTTTTAAGGGTATCGTATCTGGGAAATCAACCCTGCTCCACTGGAAGGCCACCCATCACAGAGTATGTGGGTGGCACAAACTTTATTAGATGGGTTTTTTAAAAGAAATAAGAGGGTGCTGGAGAGATGGCTCAGTGGTTAAGAGCACTGGCTGCTCTTCCAGAGGACTCGGGTTCACTTTCCACACCCACATGCCAGCTCACAACTGTCTGTAACTCCAGTTTCTGGGGATCTGACACCTCCACACCAATGCACATAAAATAAAGTTAAATAAATTTTAAAAAAAAGAAATAAGAGGATACAAACCAAAGTAGGGAAAGGAGGAGGGAGTAGATCTGGGAGGGGTTGTGTGAGGAGATTAATAAGATCAAAATACATTGTATGAAATCCAAAGAACTCATAAAGAAATGGGAAAAATAAAATTTTCAAAGAAAAAACATCTGAGGAAATCCTTGATTTGCAACCAAGTCAGACAGATGTGTAAGTAACTCTGTGAAAGCCCCCCCTTTTTTTTGAGACAGGATCTCATGCATTCCAAGTAAAGGATGACCTTTAACTTCTCTCTCTCTCTCTCTCTCTCTCTCTCTCTCTCTCTCTCTCTCTCTCTCTCTCTCTCTCTGTGTGTGTGTGTGTGTGTGTGTAAATGTCTGTGTCTGTGTCTGAGTCTGTATGTGCATCTGGATACCAGAGGTCAATGTTGGGTGCTTTCCTCTATTGTTTCTGCCTTATTTCGAGAATGAGTTTCTCAGTGAATCCAAAGATTATCAACTCAATAGACTTCCTAGACTTTCCAATTTACCAGATGGTCAGTGCACTCTGGAATTCTACTTGTCTCAGCCATCCCTAGCTCTGACATCATGGATGTGCTCTGTTGTCTTATCTTTTAATTGGGTTCTGGAGATCTGAAGTCAGGACCTCATGCTTCCATAGCAAGCACTTTACACAACAAGCCTTATCGCCCAGCCCATGAATAGGTCATCCTGCTTGTATGCTAGGATTATAAACATGTCACCACACTTGGTTTGTATGGTACTGGGGATGGAATCCAGAGCTTTCTTTCTACTGGGAAGCAGGCTACTAAAGGAACTATATCCCTAGCCAGAGGCTACCGAGCTGTTAATCCAGAGTAATTAGCATCTCTGGGCTGTACTAACCTAGAGTACAGTATCAGAATTGAATCAAATAGTAGGACTCTGAAAAGGTATCCACAAAAAAAAAAAAAAAAAAAAAAAAAAAAAAAAAAAAACAACAAAAAAAAAACTGGAAAATTACTTAGGACATACATCTGTTTTCACAAGTGCTATAAATAAATAGGTTTTTCCTTCAGTTCCCAACCCAAAGGATAACAAAACAACCACCAAGGTGAAGAATAAGTTGAGAAGGGAGCTACCATTATGGTGAAATTGGGAGTGTGAGGAGCTTAGGCCTGAGGGAAATGGGCAGTACCTGAGTTCCAAGTGGTTCTGTCTCAACTACTAGTTGTACTGACGCAGTAAAACCACATCCTTTCCCATTTGAAAATCAGAAGGAAATCTACTTCCTGTTACTCAAGTAGCCCCAAGCCTACTTCCCCCTTCTTTTCCTCAGTTCTGTTCAGAAATCCCTGAAGATTGAGACACACTCCACAGATGACCAGAACCCAGAGAAACCTCAGAGTAAGATCAGGAGGAAATTGCCTGTGTCAGAAATATATATTTCTAGAGTAGGGAATCTGGAAGGCCAGAAAAGAGCTGAGGGTAGAGCAGAGTCCCAGACTCTTGTATAATATTAGAAGGACCAGCCTTAATATTATACTTCTCAGGTGCTCAGTCAGGAGAGAGAAATATGAATGGCGAAGACTATTTTCGGGAAACAGAATCTTAGCACACCAAGCTCTTTAGTCCACTTGCTTTTATTTCTCTAGGATAAAATCCTATCTACCCAGCTTCAGTTCTGTTCTCATGCCTCATTCCTTTCTTGCCTGATTTCTCTCTATATTTATTTACAGTTCACCCTAAATTCTATCTTAATTCTCTCGTCTTAATTCTGCCTCATTTAGGTCCTTTTCATCTCGTTCTTACCCAGCTAGTACTTCCCCATCTGGCTCTTCCTCATCTTCCATCTCGTCCACAAGTTCTCTCTGGTCAAAATCCTCCTTATCCCTCTCAGTTCTCCGCCTCTAAGTTCTCTATGGTCCTCCCAAGTCTCCCAGGAATCCAGTTATAAACCCAAGCAATAGCAATCTTCTGGCAGAGCAAGGTCACCAGGCTTGAATTCTTACGGGGTCATAAAGGCAGGTAAGAATTTTCCTCAGGCAGTGACCACCATGCTTTCTTTTACAATCCAAAATGGGAGTGGTAAAAGAGGAGGTCAAGTGAGTGCTAATGACTGGTTAGTATATAAAAAAGGGATCTATGTGCTCAGTCTACATTCTGAGAAGTGGTTAGATAATAAGTTAGGGGGTCTATAAAGTTAGCAAACTGTAAGAAAGGAGGGACCGAGCTAAATTGTGTAAAGCTATTATTTAAAAGGTCCAGTGTCTGACCTAGGCAGTGTCTCCTTGTGGAATTTACCTTAAATCAGGAGACTTGCATGTGGACTGTTATTACTGCTAGTCCTTGAAAGTGACTAAGGGAGATATCTGATTCCAGTGCTGAAAGGGGAGAAATGGATGGGCTGGGGGGAAGGAAGCCTTTCCTGAGGC